AAAGTCGGTAAATTTAGCGGTGGGAATCAGGTGGATTAAATCCGAAGTGGTAATAAATAGGGCAGGGCATAGTCATTTTTACTTAACCAGGATAGACACAATGCGGGTTATGATCGCGCCACTTATTTAACCGAGTCTAAGGAGAGTAAATACACTAATGTCCACAGCGGCCGCCATCAAGACAAGCATTTAGTGCAGCTGTTTTGAGAGGACCGTAATTATAATGTGAAGACTGTTTTAGAAGTCGCCAACGTTTGTTTAAATTATTGGCGGGCTTTTGAAACTGAGCCGACATTTTTTTGTTCTCTATTCACGTGTAAATTTCTTTTTATAGGCAAATGGACATTACCGACGAAGACAGGGGAGACTAGGATGGCCATTTTTGGCTTATTAGCCGTCGTCAGCTAGTTATACCCAGATCAAAATGGCGTCACATCCGAGCCTCGAATTCTCGAACTCTCTGATCAGAGTCAAACGCCCCTAACCATTGAGCTACTAGCTCGTTGTCTTGCAGGTATTTGATCAGGGATATACAGTGGCAAATACGCGTACACCGATCTGTTAGAGGACACTCGTCCGTCCGTGGTACCATTGGAGCTCACACTCGAGCCTCTTATATACATCGGTTAGCCTAGTTCGCCCATTAAATACCGTTTTTTCCCTTTTTGTTTATTAGAATCAAAAGGATGAGACCATTAGCGCATAACGCTAAGAATGTCTTGAAAGAAGTTCAATTTGGCCGGCAATTTGTGACTTATTCACGGACAATTCTGCATGATGCCGATAGTTGCAGTCTCCAACCATTATGCATCGTTTGTGGTCTTAGAGTATTATGTGGTAAATAAACTAGCACTGAGTCAAGAACATCTAAACAATATTAACAGTAGGTAAAAAAGGCGAAATTGTAAGTAGAAAACAAGACTACACCGTCTGTCTCAATTCTGCACGCAAACGTAAAATATAAAGTTACAAACCTGGGGTAGCTACTTTGGCCTCATACCAGAGAGCATAACTAGCAAGACCCTCATAAAGTCGTTGTAGACGCTGAACATGGTTCACCTCCGGTTCACGTGTGAGCACGGCTTCCTTGGAAGAGGAAGGATCTCGTTTGAACTGCAAATTGGAAGTGCAAAAGGGTTAAAGTTTGGATTTGTAAGTGGCGGAACACAGTTGCATTCAATGAACAGGAAGAAAGGGCGAAGTTGGTACGCAATGTAAACATGACCTACAGTCTTCAGGTTGACGGACATTGATAATAATAAAGGTTTTTTAAACAAAACCAAACCCTTTTTTGTTCTCTAAACGCACACCATTAACTTCAAGCCGGACTGTTGACCGTGTGAATTTACGAGAGTAACGCGCTGACCGGAAGGAAAAAGACTACGTTCAGGTAACTGGCAGTTGAGACCCAGTAGGTAAAGTACATACTTTTGATTATTCATTTAATAGTGCGTTAGTAACGTGGTCGATGAGGCTAGGTATATTGACAAAATGTAGGCAGCGGGTTTTAGACACTTATAAAGTTAGCTAAAATAATTATTCCTAAACGATTTTAGAAGATAATAGCTTTGAGCAGTTTTATGCAGTACAAGAAATGCCAGGTATCAATTTATTGTTGGAGCCTTTGTCGAAAATATGACTTATGTAACTGCGATCAATTTTTAATTTTGATCACATTGGTTAGACGAAAGGAAGTTAAAAATGTTTTCCTATTGGCAATTAAATGGCCAAAAATAACACATGCTTTGACATATAACGGCTAAGAAAACGACCATTAGTCAAATGGGCTAGGCATAAGTACAATCCCGGGCAACATACAACTTTGCGCGACCTCTCATTCACCGCCAGGTCCCAGCGTTTTTGACCAAGTTCGAACAGGATGGTCTCTAGTATGCGATTGTTTTCGTCTGTAAGTCTGCAGCTATTCAATGCGCTGAAACAAGGACGCGTGCACAACCATCAGTCAGCAGAACCATTAGCGCAAAGCAAATGCAAAGATATGATCTAGCGTTATGGCCCAGACAAGAGGACACTTAATTAGAGATCAATAAACCCAATGTAAAAATGTTGCAACATTGTTGGACATAGAGCACTAGCAAAATATCAGAATGGCCTATTGGAATAGCTGTAAGGGCAAGAACTAAATAAAGTCTTAACAAAATTGAAGAAGATAAATTACCTTCTGAAGTTAAGCAGTTTGTCTGGCTGTTTGAGGCACCGAAAGACATGAAAAGCTGTCTAGAAAATTGTGGAAAAAATTCCAAAGGCATACCCGCCACAACCATGAAGGAGAAATGGAGTAACTGTGAATAGTGTCCGCCAGGACGCGGGCAGCCTCGGTAAACTGATGCCTAAGCAGGAAAATCCAGACCATCGCCATGATGCGGTGACGGGCAGAGGGAGCAATATGGTCAAATGTTTCTTAGGAAGAAGAAGAAGAAGATAAGGACGTTGACGTGGGGAATAAAGATGTTTTAGTCGATTGGTCTCGAAAAATACTCAGGAATAGACAAGAAAAACGTTATGGAAACATGCTTGTCTTTACAAGGACGCTATTTATTGGGCAATAGTAAGAGTTAAAATAGCCGAAGGGACACTTCTAAGATCCAAAAAATACAGAGAGGACAGCAGTACTGCATCCTGATTTAAGGGAAATAACAATATTGGTCAAAAAATTTAAAATACGCGCCCAGCCATTTTCCCTAAAGATCGAAATGGTCACTAAAAATCCAACGAGTGAAACGGTATGGTTCTTATAAATTTCATCAAAAATCTAAGGCTGTTTTGTGCAATAATACGTGCGAGGATTGTCTTCTTTGTGTTAATATAGGTTTTGGTTGCATTACCTAACAAAGATTCGGGGTATAATAGTGTTTTGAATTGAAATTAAGAAAACCGTTTTTGGAACATAGTAAGGGCGCACAGTAAGCTCAAATATATTCGCGTGAGTGACTGAAGATAGCTATCTCACCGGCGGTCGCACAGACATAGTAAATAATAGGAAAACTTATAGACAATGTGAAATACAGGTCCACTGGAAGCGAAACAGGATAAAAATTGACCTAACCGAAAATAAAATCGACTCTAGCAATATATTAATGGCACAGTTTCATAATTATTAAGCTTCTGCAGTAGCTGATTCGGACGTTAACGTTTCATTGTATTCTAGCATAAGGGTTGTGGCCTCAGTGTACCTCTCACCGTTCATCAGTCACTGTCCAAGACCCATTTTTAATGATTTGGTGACACCCACACCGGCGCATTAACAGACAACTGCTATAGACAGCAGTTGGCAATTGAACTCTTATATATAAACTAGTCCACCAGATGGCTTCGTTCAGTGGGGGCCGCACAAGCACGGTTTTTATCGTCCGTCCACCGCCCTTTTTTACTAAGGAGATAACCTACTACGTAGCTTTTTATGGTAGACACCTTGGCAAGAGACCTACACACTGCCGTTTCGGATAAGAAATGCGGCCTTCTTTCATTTAGAGGGTGAGAGATATACGCTTCATTTTGAAAATATAATTATAGATTTTCAGC